TATCCGAATTGTAAGCTCTCCTCTCTCTAACACGGTCGGATCCAATGGAGCCACCACTGGTGGAGTTTCTTCCCTAACCTCTCCAGCATCGGACGCTCTTCTCCATCGATTCACCTACAGCTTGAATGATGAACGACAATTTGTCAGTATACCCGTAAGATATTTCTTTGCATCACTTCCTCTGTCTTCTTTCACTCTATTTTTTCAATTTACTAAAGGTCGAATAAGCAAGTTGGCCTATTGAATTCAGCCTCTCTTTATATTTTGTTCATTATTTAACTGGACTTTGATTTTAACACTCTTTATGAAATTTTCTTAACTTAACCTCCTTATTTTAATTTTTTCTAAGGCACAACAAATTCTCGATTAAATTTCTGCTTTAAATATATAGAATTATGGCAACGAAACCTGTTTTTTCTCGAGCTTTACAAATATCGAACCATATGACGACCTTTCAATGCTTTTGTTATCTTGAAGCGAATTATTGAACACGAAACTACAATTTATTTTCGTGTGAATAAAGCTTGATTTCGGGCTACTTGAAAGTATTTAGCTTTGTTTATCAATTGAAAAATGGGGTTTAATGCATATAACCTTGTACTATTCATTTTTCAAAAGCATGTTCTTGCTGATTTCTAAATTTTACCTTTAAATTAAAACACCTAGAGTCACGGCTATAATTTCACGTTTTTACCTTTGAATGTTATATTTGCTTGATCTTGTAATTAACGCCTACTATTTGTGGATATTGAAGTCATGTGCTTCAACTGGACACTCATGAGGAGACTATACAGAAAAATGCATATGCGGGAATAATCCTTAATTTTCAGTCCGATCATAACTACAGATTGAAGATAGGAATACTGAGGAGTTTCATCATCAGTAGCTTACGACTAACGGACTCTGAATTGTGGTACGAGGAGTTGGACAAACTGACTCGGATTTGCCTTATTAATGGATACCCTAGATAATTTATATAAAAAAATGTAAAGGTTATAAAAGGCAGATTTAACTCGGATTTTATGAAATTCATATCAGGAATCAGAAAGACGACCATAGGTGGATTTGCTTGCCCTCATCAGCACTGAGCCATCAATTCCGACCGTTACTAAGGAAATGGAATATTAGGGTGACAATAAAGGAGAAGAGAACACTTTTCGCCATTCTGCCGACGCAACACGAGAAGACTGACAAATTGAATTGCTCTGGAGTTTATCGTATCAAATGCGGCAACTGTGAGCAGAAGTATATCGGTGAAACAGGAAGAAAAATCGGCCTACGAATCAAGG